ATCAGAGAGAGAGAAAGAAGATGGGGTGGGGGGTGGGGAGAGGAAGGAAAGAAAGTAACCAAGTGCAAAACAGGCCAAAAGTAGAAGTAAACATTTCTCCAAAGATATACAGGTAAAGTAGGTTCTTAAGAGCATATGAAACACCATTAGAGAAATAGTCAAGGCCACAGTGAAGACACTGCTTCACCCATTCTAGGATGGCTAAAAGCATGAAAGACAGATAATAACAAACAATGGTTAGGCTCCAGTGAAAATCCCTCATATACTGCTGTTAGAAAAAGCTTACAGTAGGAAAAAATTTGGTCCCATAAAATCCAACAATTTTACTGTTGATAACTACCCAAAAGAAATGAAAATAGATCCGTTCAAAATTCTGTCTAGAAATATGCATGACACAAAAGGTAGAAATTGCACAAATGTCAATCAACTGAACAGCTAAACAAAATATGGTCTATCTAATACAAGGAAATACAATTTGTCAACAAAAAATTAAGTGTTGATACATGCTATAATGTTGATGGATCTTGATAACATGTTTGCTGAAAAGCAGACACAACTGTATTTTAACAAAAGAATGGGCAAATATATAAACAGAAAATACATCAGTGGTTGGCTTAACCCTGGATAGTAGGAATGTAGGATGACTAATGTAAATGGGTATAAAGTTTCTTTATAGGTGGAGAAAAATGTTTTAAAATTAAATTACTGCTATGGTTTTAGCTCTGTAACTATGCTACAATTTGTTATATACTTTAAAAAGGACTGTATGGTACCTAAACTGTATACCTTAGACAAAGCTATGTAACAAAAAGCAGGAGAAGCCAGCTTATGTGTCCTTCCACACTTAAGCATCTGTGTGGAAATGTCCACACAGAAAGGAACTGCTACAACCTGTCAAATCCATATGAGTGAGCAGTCTTTGAAGGAGAACCACCAGCCTCAGGGAAGCTCGGCTGACTGTAGTTCTGGGTAACATCTTCATTATTCCAGGGGCTTTAAATTTATTCTTTCAATTTCATATATGTATACTGTATTACATCCTTTTTCCTATCCCTTTTTCTCCCCCCAACCTTTCCTGTACCTCCTCCCTTGCTCTCTCTCAAATCTGGGGACCCTTTTTCTTTAATTACTGTTGTTACAAATATGAATAAATTGATAAACGCAACTTGCTGAGTCCATTTAGTGTTGTTCATATGTATATGATTTTAGAACTAAACACTGGTTACTGGATTGGGAGTTCATCCCTGGGGAGGACTGATTCTCCCTTTCTGAACAATCATTAATTTCCTAGCTCTTCATCTAGGGGTGGGGCCTAGTAAGAACCCCCATTGATAAGGGTCTGGGTCAGAACATCAACTAAGCAACTTACATATCCCTAACAAACAAAAATCATGTCGATTATAAGCCATTAGAGTTTCCATTGTTACTACATAACCGATAACCTTCTGCAGCCTCCTCCTTAAAGTTAGCAGTCTCTCGAATTACCCTCCCAACACTCTGCCTCCTCTAAGAGTTTATCCTCATCCGTGGGTTTGCTGTAATTGCTGGCATGTTAGTAGAACTCAATCCTATCACCAAGTCTTAATTGAATGAAGCAAAAGTAGACACCTGACCAAAACTAGACCAAAAAAGTCCTCCTCTCAGAATTTAAGTGAAACTGTCAAAAGGATGGTGTCTTTCAACAGCTGAAGCCATAAAATGTAGAACTTCAATGCTGTCCATTTTCTGTCCCGGGGTTGGGTGAGACTGGATAGCAGTGAAGAAACTTGGCACATGGACTAGAAGAGATTTAAGGCACAGTAGAGGTAATTTAAGTCTCTGGTGCTACTGATTCCTCAGACCTGTTTTTTTCCAGAGGCGAAGCCACGTTATTAACCACAACATGTAAAACACCACTCAGTACATAAGAGATGTATTTGTTGAATAAATGAGTGGATAAAATCATCTCCATTTTCCAGTCATGTTCACCAAAGTTACATTTGACTGTTTAAAGGCTAATGGCTTTAATCTTTCTTTTGTTGCCTTTATACATTTTGAATCTTTCCATTATTGTACTTAAGAAATAATATATCCTGATTGTTGGCTTATATGGACTCTTCCTCTGCAGCTAGATTCAGAACATTTTGTTACCTTCAATACCAGAAAACAGAAAATGCTCAAGAATTTATGTTTGCTTTGTTTGATCTTGAGTTCTGTATTTTTCAGCTTTCATAATTACTGTCATCAATTTATCAAGACCTAACATCTGCAAACCTTGCCCTTATTTTTCGTCCAAAATTGAGGACATGCAAGTGCATCTATGTATGTATGGACACACAAATGCCACTGTATCCACCATCACCTTCTACTACTCTGTTTAAGACAGGGCTTTTTTCTTTGCCATTGTATATACCAGGTTAGCTGGCCTACAAGCTTCCAAGAGACTCTTCTGTCCCAGCTCTCATGGTGCCATACAAGCACGAGGATTACAGATACACACTACTATACCCAGCTTTTTTGTGGGTCCTAAGGATTCAATCTCAGGTCTTCACATGTGTATGCTAAGTGCTCTACCTGGGGTTAATGAGATGGCTCTGTGGGGCAGAGTACTTGCAAGATATATACAAGCTGCTCAACAGCAGCAAGGGCTACAAGGAGTTTATACTCTGCTTGAGAAAGCAAAGACACATATGGAAAGGTAATAGCCAGGTCATGTATTTTCCAGGTATACTAGATTAATTCATACATCTTATGGTAGGATCTTATGGAGTAATTTTTTGAATTTTCATTCAACCAACATTTCCTACTGCCTACTGTGTGTCATGTAACCTGATTAACATTTCCCCAACAGTTTTTCATTCATTTCTCATTTTACAGATGAAAGAAGTAAGCCTGCAAAGGTGTAGTGATTTTCCAAGCTTAGACAGCCAGCTAAGTGACAGCGATAGTACTCATCACTATGTCTTCCAACTCCATGTCCAGGTGTGCCACACTAGTCAGTTCCAGTCACATGAGCCACTTCCATGTCCTTATACTGAGTTTCCAACTGCATGTTCATTCATCCTATGCCATACAATATAATCACCAACTACCAAGCTGAGAAATGACGACATCAGATCTCACTGCTCTAGCACCTGTTACAGCACCATGTGCTAAGAGGAGCAAGTTGGCTGATGATGGATGAGTGACTCTTTCAAGCTATATTTTAACAGCGTTTTTGACCATGACATCTGAGCAGTTGTTCAAATGTTTAGCAATAGGTTGAAATGACTGTTCCTTTTCTTTGACATTACTAGTGAATTCAGTACAGGCTCATCATTCATCAGAAAAATTTCTAAATGCAAACTTGATGATTCCCGCAGTCAGTAGAGAAGGGGAAATAGAGAAATGCTCACTGTTTTCTGCACTGTTTGCAAAACCCAGAAACTGAGCAATTGGCTGAGTACTAACAAGTAGGCTGCCTCTTAGTCCTTGAGCAACAGACTGCTTGCTGCAACACAATCAATGGCTGAGAGTGTAAGACTTCGAGGAGCATTTGCTGGACTGTATGATTCCACACGTGCAGCAAGGAACCATTATGTAAGATGGGGGGGAAAGCCAAAATCCTCACTCTAGAAAGCACGTGACAGTGCACCCGCTGTAAACTAGGAGTTAAGACTGGATAAACGTATACTGAGAAAATGACTTCAAAGCCTGTTGAAAACATCAGTTGATTAAATTTGGAGGGAAAAGCTCCACCAAGGGAATCTACACTGGCTCTGCTAGAACTCAAAAATACTATGGAATAACTGGTTCAAGATACTTTAAAGAGCCAGAACAATCAAAACTGCAGTGCTTAACACTGACGCACTGAGAAAGCATGAATTTGACAGCTTATGCTAAGTCCTAAGACTGGCACCCAAAGGAATGCTAATGAGCAATCTCATTAGAAGGAACAAAACCTAAACAACTGTGGACCACAGCTCACTTTACAATCCGTTTCAGTCTCTCCCAAACAAAAGCAAAGTGAACACGGCTCAGACCTGAAACCTACCACTTACCCTTGGTATCCTTCAAAATATGCCAAAGACTTAAGTATCAAAATCTCAAACCACTGTCACTAATAACAAGCAAGTCGTTAAAATGCACTGTACGTTCAGAAATGATAAAGTGTAAGGGGAGACCTGACTCCATGGTCGTGGGGAAGATCCAAACTGAACCAATTGGTCCAGATAAGAAATTTCCAAAATAAACCCCAGATTTCCACAATGGAAAAGCAATCCAAGAAGTAAAAAGCTTAGCACACAGAGCTTTACTGATCTCCAGCACCAGGGAGGTAAGCGCAGGAGTCGCCTAGTGAACCTTTCACCTCGAACTTCACATTTACAGAGGCTGCTTTCCAAAAGACGCTGGCAGGAAAAAAAAAAAAAAAAAAAAAGCCAAGGCGAGCACGGTACTTCACGATAACTCTAAAAGAAAGGACTCCATCCCAGAAGACCACGAAGCCTCTTTACCTCACTAGAGCCTAACCCAGGACCAACCACCCCTCAGGTATGGGTTGCAGGACCTCTGTCCCTTAGGGATGGTAAACACGCACACACACACACACACACACACGCGCGCGCGCACACGCACGCACACACACTCCCTCGCATCCCCTCACACCTGGACCACACCAGGCAGAAGCGCAGTGTAAAGTGAGTTCAAGCGTCACGATAACGCACACAACTCACCTCACGCTGACGCCAAAAGGCACGTTTCGCTCGAGACAGCCTGTAGTGACAGCTGTCACCTATGCAAGAAGGGGAGCAAGAAGGCATCCTCCCAGGCCGGGGCCCCATATCGAGGGGGCCCAGCGGGAGCAAACTGCCAAGACCCCCTGCCCTGAGCCTCCGGGGACCCCCCCGACTCGCCCGTGCCCACACAGCCCCGCCCCGGGCCCGTCCCCCCAGTCCGCGCCCCCCTCGGCCTGCGCGCGCCCAGCCGGGCTGTCGGGCGCGCTCCCGCGGCCGGCCCGGCCGGCAGAGGGCGGGGTCGCTCACCGGTCCGCAGCTCGTGCTTGACAGTGAGGAGCCGCTCGCCGCCTTCGCCGCTGTCCCCGCTGGTGCCGGCGCCGCCGCCGCCGCCGCCGCCCTCCCCCTCCATCTTCACCCTCTCCCCGATCGCGCGGGTCGCTCCGATGGGAACCTGACGGGACAGCAGACGCCCCTTCGCCTCTCGGCCCCAGGAGCCGAGCTGCGGCCGCGCCACAACTCCGACGCCGAGGCGAGCGGCTTTCCCGCTCTGGCCGCGCAGCTCCTCCGCCTCCTCCCCCCGGCGGGCACCGCTAGTACGGCGCAACCCCGCGCCCGGCGCCTCCACCTCCTCCGCCAGGCCGCTCCGCCCACAGCCAGCCCGGGAGACAGCCCCGAGCCGCCGGCGCGATTGGGCGCCGTGCGCGCGCGTCCGCCAGCGCCCGTCCCCATTGGGCGGCCGGCTCTGACGTTTCACGAGGCGCCCCGCCCCACCGCTCAAATTGTTGTTGCTTGGCGGGGAGGCAGGAGAGGGAGGAGCGCGGACGCTCCGATTGGCAGGACCCAAGCTTCGGCCCCACCCACCGGCGTAGGTGCGCACGCGCAGGCCAGGCCTCCCCTCTCCTGACCTCCCCAGAATGGCCACACCCCTTATTCCCCAGCTTCGATCTGTTAGTAAACAGTGTCTAGTAGTCAGGAGGCGCTCCGGACATCTGATTGGCTACTGGGGAAAGAGGCGGGGAAAGACGATTGGGCCGCTTGATCCGCCAATCACCGTGGACAAAGGAGGGTCCTGGAGGGAAGCACTTGTCACCCACGTGTTTGCGTGTGAGCGTCTGAGGGTCCTAGGCAACGATCCACGAAGGTGTGGCCGCCTGGAAGATGCTGTGTCTTCGGCGCTGAATAAATTCCTTGGATTTTGTGATTAAATACGGGCAGGGGCTGACGAGATGGCCTGTGGGTAAAAGTGCTTGCGACCAAACGAAGACAGCCACCGTGCAATTCCGGTCTAGTGAGAGGAGAGAACCAACAAGTTGCCCTCCACACTAGCTTCATGGCACGCATCACCCACGCGCAAAATTAAGTTTAAAAAAAAATCAAGCAATACGGGTAGTTCCTACACACAGAAAGTCAAGCTTCTGGCTCGCGAAGAGGAATTGTGGGGGAATTTTTGTGTTTCTTTTTTGTAGCTCGGTACAGCCTTGACCTCCTTCCTGGTCCTTCTGCCACCACCTCCCAGCGCTGGAACTGGTGGCACGTGCCGCCATGCCCTGTTGATGTAGTGCTGGGGATTGAACCCTGGGTGTTAGGAATGCTAGGCAAGCGTTCTCCAACTCAGCTACATCCACATCCCAATTTTTTTTTTCATGTTTATCAGACTCAAAGGGTATGGAGAATCATAAAATAAGATACAATTTCTGCTCCTGAACAGCTTTTAGTGGAACTTGAGAAATAAACAATTTGTATACATGAACAGGAAAATATAAAGAATTTAAACAAAACCGTGGAGCAGTGTAAAACGTTAGAAAACCGTTCAGGTGGCAACAATTGTTCTCAAGGCTTGTAGGGCAAGGAGGAAATCTGGATAGCCAACTTAAGGGACAAGTAAGACCAAAAAAAAATGCCAATGCAGACATTTCATACAGAGGTAACTGTGAGCCTACGTCTAGAGAATATCAAGTGGCAAGTGATGTGATTGGCAGGCTAGACGGACGTGTAAGGGAAACAGCTGGATAGGCAAGGTGATTATATCTTTATTTTTCTTCTTCTTGTAAAAAACACGTGACAAAAGCAACCTAAAGGAAAAAAAAAAGGGCTCTTTGGCTCACATCTCACACATAGAGGGTGTCATGGAGTGGGGAGCCAGAGTGGCTGGAACAGGAGACTGGTCACATTGTGTCTGTGGTCAAAAGGAGACAGAAACGAACCGTGGTCCTTGGCATTCTCCCTTTTGTTGAATCCAGGACCTCAGCACATGGATGGGACGCCCAGCACAGCTAGGGTGGATCTTCGCTGTTAAGCCTCCCTGGAGATGCCACTAAAGAGACATGGGTGTCTCTTAGGTGGTTCTAAATCCAGTCAAACTGAGAATGAAGATGAATCACGTCGGTAAGACAATGGGGAATCTTAAACACTCTATTAAACTGCAGATATTATTTAGTACATGAGGAGTCCTGTGTGCCAGTTAGAAAAGCAAAGCCATGCTCTTATAACTTGTCATATCACTTGAGATGAAGGGGAGGGAGAACTCGGATGGAAAGAATCTCCTGCAAGCAGAGCACTGACAGCCTAATCTCGGGTAGCAGAAAGAGATGATAATGAGGAAAAAGACTTGAACATAAATAATATTTAAAAAATGAGCTTCTAAACTGAGCACGGATTAGATGAGGGAGCGGCAAACTGTTTCCCTGTCAGAGGCCAGATAGCACATTCAAGCCTTTGTGAGGAATATGCTCTTATTTATAAACACTCGGCTCTGCTGGAAAGCAGTCAAGGACAATAACGAATGACTGTGTTGCCATAAGATGTTTCGATGGATATCGGAGTTTGAATTTCACAGGTCATAGTGCGTTATTATTTTAATATCTTTTCAATCACTTAAAAATGCAAAACCCAATTCTTAGTTCTTGGGACCTTAAAAAACAGACAGTGGTCTGTCTATATTTGGTCTTCATAGTTGACAGCCTCCTGCATTGAGTTACCATGAAAGAGAGAAAGCAGAGACATCTCAAGGCCGCCATTAGATTGCTGCCTCAGCTCTGTGGGTTAACCTGCCTGACATGCCTGTTCCACTACACGACATACTTAGCTGTGCTATTTGGAGCCAAGCGATGGCTGTGTGCAATTGTTCATTTGTTAATTCAACAACTTTCACACCCATTATGTACCGATTACTGTGGTAGGTGTCAAGGACACAGTGTACGCAAAACAAATGCCATCCTCGATCCTGGTGCAGACTACAGGTTAAGAAAGGACATAAATTCTAGGTAACCACATAAAGAAACTGCAAGTTTTCGTGAGGTTCACACCATAAGCAGACATCAAAGCGCTATAACGGGATCCATCAGGAGTACCTAGTTTAAGTTAGAGTTGCTGGAAGGCTTGTGTATGGAAAAATTTTTTTTTATTCTGACTCTTCAAAGATGAGTAAGATTAAGCACTACTTTGGAGAGAGTGTCCTGAAGATCACCAATCTCATTTCCTCTTCTTGAGCAAACAGGAAGAACTTTTTCCTTTTTTCGGTCTGTTTACAGCTAGGTTCTTAAGACACTTATCTAGCCAGTGGGCAGACGTGGTCAGACATTTTCAAAACCAGCCACATACATAGCCTCATGCACAATTACAATCTCTCGCACCAGCTTTGCTTTCTACAACAACCACACAAGTCATATTTATTGTTTGTTTGTTTGTTTTGGGTTTGTTGTTGTTGATACAGGGTCTCATTAAGTAGCCTTGGCTGACCTGGAACTCACTCTGTAGATCAGACTGGTCTCAAACTCACAGAGATCTGCCTGTCTCTGCCTCCCAAACAAGCCATGTTTTGAATACTAGCATGCCACGTTTTAGAAGACTCCTGAGCTGAGTTCTCAGCAGAAAAACAATGGCTTGGCAATAAGTTTTTTTTAAGTATAAGCTACCGAGATGGTGGGATGGTTCATTACAGAAGCATGACAGAACATATTCTATTCACAGGGGCATTATTCAGAAGAAGAAAGTTTTAGGGCAATGTCATGAGACAGATAAAGAACCTGTTGCACTTGAGAGACTGAGAGAAAGCCAGTGGAGCCTTTGTTACCATAAGCAAAAGCATGCTGTGAGATGTGTGGGCAAAGGCCTAACCATGCAGTGTATGGCTGGTCTTATTAATATTTATTATATTATTATTAATATTTATTATTATTTAATATTATCAATGGAAGGAATTTAAACTGAAGAATGATATAATTGGGGTAGTATGTGTAGTATGTGTATGAGCATGTGTGCATCCATGCGTGTGTGTGCTTGTGTGTGTGTGTGTGTGTGTGTGTGTGTGTGTGTGTGTGTGTCTTTGCTGCTGCGATGGATAGCCAGCCCATCTGGCCCATGAGCGTCCCGGGATTTTCTCGTCTACCTCCCATCTTGCCGTAGGAACACTGGGAATACGAAGGTGCGCCTGGCTCTGTGTAGGCTTTGGAATGTGAGCTCATGCCCTCTTCTGCTTCTGCAACAAGTGCTCTACCACTGAGCCTTGCCCGCCTATCCCAGATCTGTATATTTTACGTATTCCTAGATAATTTTAAAATTACAGAAGACTTGCTGTTATAGGAGATAAAAGTTAATGTTGGGCTAAATACTGTTTATTATTAGCCCTATAACTATTGTGGCAGTATTATTTAACCCACTATCATAAATAATAAGACATAGACACCTGTTAGATTTTATGATTGCCTTATTACCTTGGCTGACATTTCTACCTACACTATGTCAATAACCTCACCATCCATCTCCCAGCCCCCATCCAATGCCATCTGCCTGAATCATCTGCATCTGGGCTACCTTCCATCCATAATCCCAAGATATTTGCTTGTATTCTTCATCTGGGCCTTTTCACACCATTATTGGAGTCCTTCCTCCCAGCCCACATGGTTTCTTCTCCATGCTAACTGTCAGTCCTCCTTCCTCCTCTCTTCCTGTCTGTCTCTTTCCCATGATTCTCCTCTCCCCTAAAGCACGGGAACCTTCAACAAACCTACCCCACTCTGCCCTGCCAAGATATAGGCCATTTAATTAGCCCATCAGGTAGGTTTAAACAACAAGGGTGGGTGTGTCCAGGCAGTAACCAGCATCAATAAACAGGCATCAGACCAACCCCCAACAGTTGCAAAATATACCAAGCTTAAAAGTATCGCCTTTCATACACAACACTGTGCTTGGTGATAGGAGAGGAGGGAAGGAAGGGGTGCGTTGGGGACTTGGGAGAATTTGGAACAGCCAATGAGAGAAATAAATACGGTGAGGCAGCTTCGACAGCTGTTGACTAGCACCGGGGTCTCAAATGGAGTTAGGCGCCCTGAATCCAGATCCCTAAGTGTCTTTCTCTGGCAGTTTACATTTCTCTCGGGGTTAGAGATCAGCGATGCAGCGACAACTTGGCTCAAATGAATGGCCCCGGGGCCTAAGTAAGAAACGAAGGCAACAGGAGGCGGAGTGAACCAGTCAGCTGGGAGGACAGGACAGATGGAGTTCAGGACAGGTGAGCCTCCCGCTCCAATTGCATCATAGGATCCCCACTTGTAACACTTTTAAGAAGGGAGAATATAAATAATTGAACAATTAGCCTTGGGTGAGGCCTGAACTTTGGATTGTCCTACA